TATAATATAGATACAATTTTGTTTACCATATATTATGTAGATACCATAATTTAATGAATACACATATATTATTACATCAAACATAATAAATAAATTGATATGTCATATGTTAACCGTCGCTCCAACACAATTAATATAAATGACATCTAATAATTAAATCCATGTATATCATATAAATTTTAAAATATATCCGTTCTGCATTTCTTAAAAAAATTAAACATATTTTACGTTTTTCTTTTAATAAGAAATCAGATTTTCTAATTTGAATAAAATAAAATATTAATAATATTTCATTATTAAATATAAAAATATGTTTATTACGCAATGGACGTACACGCAATGGACGTACTATGAATATATCTCTATTAATAGAGTGGTAATAATTGTCCTTAATTATAATAAGATTTTCTTAATTTCTTAGTATACATTTATTGAAATTAATTTCTTACCGTAATTTAGGTATTAAATTTAGAATAATATATACAATTAATTACGATTTAATTGAATTCGTATTAATTTAAAAATATTAATTTTAAAATATTAATTCCATAATTAAGTTCAATAATTTCGAATAAATATCCACAATTTAAGATCCCTACCGTAAATAATATGCATTAATTCCGATTTACTAAATAATTTTTGATTAATTCCAATTATGGCAATTAAATCCGATTTTGAAAGTGAAGTTATTTATGGTATATGTAATGACACATGGGCAATGACTGGGATGTCTACATGGACGCCTACGTGGATGACAAATGTCGGAATTCTAGGCTATGAGGGTTTCAATTTATATATTATATAGATACAACTTTTTTAGTTTCCTTACATTCCTTTATATCAAGAATTGGTTGAAGAAATAGATAGTTTCCTCCTACAAAAATTGGCCATCACATTTAGGAAGAAAGTAACAATTCGTTTCTTTTCCTCTATCAGTTCTTGATTATAGATTCACAATTATAAGAAAATTATTAATCGTGGATATACAATAGACTATCTAAGATCTTGGAGCTACTGTGAAGGAGTCGAGTTTTTCAACGTTAATATTCGAGTTTCTCCTATTTCTGAATCCAGCAATCCCCCATCTTTTAGCACATGAATTTTGAAGACGGTGTTATTTTATAACTTCTAGGTTTTAGTTTTCACATTCATTTAACACATATAACACGTACTTATAAAATTTTAAACGCTTAATATTTTATAAATTTATCAGTAGCTTTTGTGATTCGTTTCCAACACTATTAAGTGTCTTGACCCGATATTTGTTTTATTGTTTTCATAATTAATTAATATCATTCTAACACTGAAGAAGAGCATTAGACTATGGTAAAGTATATTCTTAGGTCTTAGATTGATGAATTTAGTGACAATGAGAGATTGTTAGGGTTAAATACTAATGTCGTGTTTTTGGGTAATAATTTTGTTTGATTAATAAATTCAATTTTCTTCATTAAATTTGTGAATGTGCCCGATTAATTAATTAATTATGCATTTGTTTATTATTAATTGATGCATAAGTCATATTTTTTTCTATTTGTAGATAAATTGTTGTGCGGAGTTCAACTAATGCATGAAAGATTAATTTATCGACTCTTATAAAATATAAGTGAATTAGTTTACAATTTAATTAGATCAAAGTAGACGAACCATCAGAAAGATGACGTCTTCGATGTATCTTGGGGCGACCACGTCTGGATTGGGACAATCATACTCAAAAGAGGATTCATCACTTATTTCTCTCATTCAAAACCGTGCATGAAATTTTCATCACAAATGGCTCCACTTGGGAGAAAGGAAAAAACTCGTCTTCTTTCTTTTTTTTATTACCTCCCTCGCATATGTATAAAACATAATTCGTTCTAAACTTTTAAAAATGATTACTAATCCTTTACGTGCATTGTTGAGAGCAGTTGGAGGTCGGTGGTTATGGAAAGTGATTGCTTAAAAGAATTCAGACCCTTCAATGAGACGGATATACTATATCATTTTTTGGTCCTTTAGTTGAAGATTGCTTGCTATATGAGTGTTTCGAGTCTACATTTTTTCCTTTGTTAAGAAAATAGGAATCCCCATGCCTAGACAATAGCCTAATTGGTTGTTAATTGGGTGAAGGAAGATGCAATCCTCCCTTAGACTAATTCATTTGTTGTTCAATGAAATATCTAAAATTTCAAAAAAAAAATCTTAGTTATAAATCAATTCATCTTCACGTACATAAAAAAAAAAAAAAAAATACACAATACAAGTCAATATTTGCAGAACATTTTGTACACAATATACAAAAAAACAAAACACTTGCATTCAACAAATGAATAATACTAGTAAACCACACTGCAAAAATCATTCTGCAAAACCACTCTGCAAAAACCACACTAAAAAATACTCAAAGGAAGTGGGTCTGTAGAATTATCTTTTTGGGTTTCTGTCGCTAATCCGTCTCCAAATATTTGTGTAATTTACCACAATAGTTTCGACTTTCGACTAAAGAACTGACTCCATTAATGAGCGATGTTGGTGTTAACAGATCGAAGATAAGATTTCTATCGAGGGGATTTTAAGAGCGTGATTTATGGGCACAATATTCTGGAGGGGATATCGGGCTAATCGATACCACGCTAATTGATTAGGGGTGGGATTTCATAAATCTACATAGTTATTGGAAATATTCAGTGGGGCATGCATATAAGGTATTTTGGCTTGTGTGGATTTATGGTAAATTATCAATTAAAAAAATGGGTTTATCGAGAAGTAAAAATTCCATTAGAGGGTTTTATCAAACAGCTCCTGTATTAAAAGCTTTCTCAAAAACAAAATATTAAAAAAAAAAATCGATTAATGACTGGTTTGGGCAAAGTTCCACATTCAAAACAGGTTTCAAATTTCTTCAGTGAAGCAAAAAAGCAAACACCTTTACTGCGTAAAGGAGTTTGCTCGGCAGCTCCAAGCCGAAGTAGAAGACGACCCCGAAGAAGAAACCTTGTATAGACAACAAGTACAAAGTGAGAAAATGCTATCGCCCCATTGATTCGAGCCAACGGCGGATCTATAATGGTTCTAGGGTGTACACTTGCACACCCTTAATTTTAAATAAAAAAAATTATATATATATAATAAGTTAGGGTACATTTAATCTATCAAGTTATAAAAGGTGACTAATCTGAAAATAAGTAAAATATATACACCTTACCTAAAACCAGGGGCGAGTGCACCCCTTTGGGAGGGTGGACTTAAGCCCACCCTCGATTTACTAATTCCCGCCCATATTATACCTATATATCTATTAAACCCACCCAATTTTTATTAATTAGCGCACCCAAAGTCCAAATTAATACAAAAAACCCTATAAATATAATCTTTTATCATATAAATTTCTTAATTATGAAAAATGCTTTTTTTATAGATCTCTGTTTCAAGTAAATAAAAATAGATATTTTTTTACGCACACACACACACACACATACTCACATGCACACACAATCTCCACACACACAGACACACTGTTTTACACACATACACACACTCACATGCACACACAACTTCTACACACACTCACATACACACACTGTTTACACACACACACACACACACTCTGTTTTACAGACACACACACACACACACACTGTTTTACACACACACACACTGTTTTACACACACACACACACACACACACTGTTTTACACACACAGTGTTTTCCAAACTTCAGAACTATTTTTCCTAGTTGTCCTCGACTCAACCGAATAACTGTCCTCATCATCATTCTCCATCTATTTCAATCTATATCAAAGTGTGTAAAGACTAAAGACCATAACTTTACAATAAACTCCAAACCAAGAATCACCTGGAATGATCTTGACACCTGAAAATAAGATATTTGTCATGTTTTTTGAACAAAAAAATATTAAAATAAGATCATTAATTTAACAGCCCTAATTTTTTCATCAGAATTAATAATAGCACTTGAGTTGGAAATATATGATCTGCAGCATAATAGTTCTAATAAAATAAATAAATTAATAAATAAATAGTAGAAAAAAATAATAATTGCTAAACAAATATAAAATAAAAAATTACCTCGGAATGATTCCCCGGAGTTGGCTCCGACTTGCTTCTCCTCAGTTCCTTAACATTTTCCGACGGTCTCCGCGGCCTCAAACCACCGGAAGGCCTTATTTTCCGGCGGGAAGGCGACGGCGAAGGTCTTGGCGGCGAGCGGAGTGGAGGCTGTTCACGGCGGCGAGCGGAGTGGAGGTTGTTCACGGCGGTGAGCGGAGTGCGGGTTGTTGACGGCGGCGAGCGGAGTGGAGGTTGTAGACGGCGGCGGTCGGCGAGGAGCGGTATACGGCGGCGAGGAACGGCGATGGAGGTGGGGAATGGCGATGGGTTGAGAAATTTTTGGGGTGAAATCTGAGAGAAAATTTTTTATCGATTAAACTTTTAATTAAAATAATATTTTGACTTTTTTTTTTAGAAAATTGTGTTGGTATTTGATTGGGTTTTAATTGGGTTTTGATTGGATCCAATATGACCCAATTTATTTTGTGGTTAAACTTTTAATGGATTTAAAGTGGATCCACATGGATCCAGTTTTAAAAAAATATCAACTGGATCGGATCCGATTTATTTCAACTAAACTTAATCTAAACCGGATCCTTATGAACCGAACCGGATCTAGTTGGATCCACGGATCCGGATCCAAATTGCCACCCCTATAATATAACGTGCCTAAAGAGACCTTTTTTGATATGCCGGGTAATATCCTTATTACTAATTATCTAGGAAAGATTGATATTCTATATATGGACAAAAAGATCGATAGAAAATATTTTAATTGGAAAATTCTCAATTTTTATTTGAGACAAAAACGCGATATTGAGGCCTGGATCATAATTGATACCAATAGAAATCAAAATACTAAAATGGGTATTAATAATTCTTACAAAATTTCTAAAAAAGATCTTTCTTCTCTTATGAGTCCAAAAATAACTCCATCAAACTCAATCAAAAGATTTTTTGATTGGATGGGAATGAATGAAAAAAATGCTAAACTGTCCCTTCCCAAAATTTATGTTACTTTATAATGCATATAAAACTAAATCTTGTGTTATACCAATCAAATTTACTTCTATTAAATTTGAATAAAAATGAAAATAGTAGTGAAAATAAAAAAAATCAATGAAAAGAAGAGAGGAAGTTTTTTGATAGCAGTGAATAAAAAGCATCAAAATAAAGAAGAAACACAATTAGTATTAATTAGTTCACCCAAAATTCAAATTAATGGAGAAAAGCTCATTTTCTTTTTTTTATTTTCTTCTTTTTATTATCCTATTTTCTGATTTTGTCACAAAGAAATCCTAATTTTTTTTCGGGGGCAACAAATTTAAGCCCACCTTGTAAAACATTCATGATCTCATCACTGCCTAAAAGTCAACAAAACTCTTTCCACTTTCTTTTCCCAATTTCTCACGCAGTCGGTCAACATTTTTTTTTGCATGTTTATATTTTTTTCTGGAGTCGGCACTGATTCGAGCCATCTTCGACAATCAAATCTATCAACCTTCGTACGGTATACATCGAAAGTGTGCGATATCTACACGAGATTGGAGAACTCGACTTTCGATGACGTCACGCATGTACAGCTGGACGACATGCTCGTCGATCTCGAGCTGGCTAAGCGAGAAGATAGCGTATATCGTATAGAATGTTATCTGAGGGTTAAAGATGGAGGTAGGCGCCTAATTGGCTGTGACCTTTTTAATTTCCTGTGGCAGCAAATTAAATGAGCCTATGTTTTTAATCTATTTAGATAAATGCAATTAACCAATTAATAAAATTAATTAATTAATACACTAATTAATACTACTTTTGATTTTTGAAGGTCCAAGAAAAATGGTACCATTGAATTTTAAGTGTAGAAGACTATAGTTCTGCCAGATTAATAA